TTCTGCTACTCGACAATGTCATGGACCATCCATCCAGCCGTGTACCGTGTTCCGTGCCATGCCATGCCATGGTCCATGGGACCATGTCGAAGGATGCGGATGGGCGGAAGGACGGTGCAGGTGCAGCCGTGCAGTTGCATCAGCTCGATCTCTACTCCTACTTGCACAGCTGGTTGTCACTCGCGAGGCCATGGGTCTAGCTGCACAGTGCGGCGGGAGATGGTCTATCGGGCTGCCCGGCCAGAAGTTTTCGATCAATCATGGAGGGCATGCTCTGCGCAGTTGCGCGTAGCTGTCGACGGAGGAAGCAGCAGCGGCCGGCTGGCCGCCCGGGACTCGGCGCTCGGCTGCCTGCGTGCGCCGTGCGCGAGAGCAACAGGTCATCTCTGTACCGCACTGCACGGGGGCGGGGGGCTTAATTTGGTGCCAGTCGTGGGACCTTTCGCCGTTATGATGCTGCAACGTGGCTGGGACGGCAGCGAGATCATCACGCTGTGTTTGGGTTTATTGGGTTTATAAGTCATATTTTTTTAATCAATGAATAATATTTTTCTCTCACACCAAATCAGTCAATAGTATTTTCAGCCATGGCTTATCAGCCAAACAAAACCAAGCAAACAGAACGCATAATGGTTTGGAGACAGGGGAGTTGTGTGTGGCCCATGAAAAAGATCTCATCGCATGGCCTGTTAGCCTGTTAGTTGTACACTTGCACAGCTGCACTAGCCGACTCGTTTCTGATCCCCCACGAGCCAATTGCTTTCGGTGCATGTATCAGCTGGTTGGATCGAGCCTTATCGGCATCAGTACGGGATTTCGGACGTTGAAAGAGAAGGGGAAGCTACTCCGATTAGTTTCTTGTGCTCAACATGCTGCTGAATGGAGGTATTTATACTAACTGTGCTGCTAATTTTTTCAAATAAAAAAGTACATTAGGGTTCATCAACATCAAGTCAAGATGGCCGAGTTGGTCTAAGGCGCCAGTTTCAGGTACTGGTCCGAAAGGGCATGGGTTCGAATCCCATTCTTGACATTTGATTTTTTTTCCCTTACTTTGCATCTTTGTGACTTTGTCCATCTTATACTTGCTTCATTCGATCACGAGGCCACGGTGAACCAAGGCTCTTTTTCTTCGAGAAACGGAGGGACGAGGAGGTACAACAAAGTGGGAGATACGTTTCAGCTCTCCATGTGCGCCTGTTCGGTTGTCTCTCTGTGGCTGTCTAGTGTAGTCGCACGGGTACGTCCAGGGGTTCTCGATTCTTGGCGGACATTGCTCGCGTTGTGTTGGACCAAGCCTCTATAAATAGCATCAGCATCAACTATTTTCCTTAAAATGCGCCCCGCAAGGCCGCAACACACCCACGGAGGCCGGTCCGGCCGGCCACCGGGGAGATGGCACAAGACAACTTGACAAGGCCGTCGTCGGTGCCTGTGACGGGCCCCTGGCAGAGCGGGCAGGTGCCCCTGCCCTCGACCCCGAGCCATGTGGTCCCACGGCGTGACGACGACAGCGCTCGTCCGGTCGTCCCGGACTGAAGCTAGTCCATGCACACGACACAGCCGGGCTCGTCGCGCCGGCTCGGAGTCGAACCGTAACGGTGGGCGCAGGGGCGCGGGGTCTCGGAGACCGGCATCCGGATCCGCCGGCCGCCAGGTCACAGGCGTGGACGAACTTGCCGATGTCCACTACGTCGTCGACGACCTCAAGGGTGACGGCGCGCGGGGGAGCTGCAGCGGGTGCATGCACCGGTGCCGGCGACAGGTTCGCCCAATCGCCCTGAGCACAGGGTCGCTGGAGGCGACTGCAAAGGCTGTGACATTTATCCAAGCGGCGTTAGCCCAACGTATACTTCGGCCTGACTCGTATATACCGGACAGTTTCTAGCCCAGACCATTAGGCCATTACTATAGAGCTGCTAGTGAGTACGGAGCAGTGACCTAGGCGTTGGTACCTGATCCGAGCATAAAAGCTGTCCGGCATAGAAAACTCAATGGACATGAAATTTCGATTAGACACTTAGGGCTTGTTTGCTTTCGATTAAAATTGAATTCTACAAAAAAAAACTAAATGAAGGGAGAAGGAGCATTCGCTAATGGAGACTTGAGTGTTTTAATGATTTGATCGAGTAGTGTGAAAACAAAAATCATTTTGAAAAATGCTTCTCAGGACCAATTGTTTGACAACGATTCTTTCTTTTCTAGTTAGAATCAGAACCATTTCTCGCTGCCAAATGACCCTTTAGGATGATCTTTTTAGTCACAAGTATTTTGTGTACAATACGTAAATAGTTTTGCATAGTCTAATGTTATTGTATTAATTTCTAGAGCATAATTCACCTCCTCTATGAGGCAATCTAGTCATTTTACTATACTTGCAAGTAAAGTAGATATCTTTTCCTAGAACTTCCTATTTTATTGTCCGCTGATTTGATGATCGATAGTGAGATGAACGGTTTTATACTCCTTAAATTCCAAATAATAGACCATTTTGTCTTATCTAGACATAGTGTATATCTTAGTTACACTAGCAAAACTTATGTATCTAGAAAAACTAAAACAATCTACAACTTAAGACAAATGGAGTAATATTCTATCTTCATTTCCATACAATCTTATTCTATCTTGATTTCCATACAATCTCGCCCCTTTTGATAATCACTGGTGGACTATTAGTGTAAGGTCATGCAAAATAAACAATAACAAGAGGCCAAGTTGGTTAACAAGCTAGTCCCAACATTGTATTTTCTGCCAATAAATTTGTGAGAGCATGTAAAGAAGTGCTCCGAAAGTCCATATTTTAAGAGCCTTTTTGAGACTGGTTCACAAGCTTTGCTCCATAAACTCATCGTAGAGCAGTTAAAAAAGCATGAAGTTTCTGAAGCACCTCTTTAGGTCACCCTGCTAGTGGGCTTAAATCCAATCTGTAACCACTCCAATCCATAATAGCATTCAACAAAAAAAATATAAACCCACCTCAATCCTATCCGTAGTCTATAGAAACCAACTCAGCCCCCGACGTTATGTTATCTGAGCCCGTACTGTACCCACGTACGCGATGAGCGCCTTCTTCACTTTGCGCAGTACACGATGAGCGCTGGCGGAGCTCGGCCCCTGCAACCGCCGCGCGCCACTCAGACTAGAAGATCACGTGAGGGAAGAAGAATAGTGTCGACGACGCAAACGACAACGACGATGCCACTGCTGCTGTTTCGGGATCGAGGCCATCGGACGTGCCAGACATCAAGGTGACCATGGTGGAGAGCCATGCCAACCTGAAGGTGCTGTCCCGGCGGTGGCTGAGGCAAGTGCTGCACCTGGTTGCCGGGCTGCAGGGCACCGCCTCGCCGTGTTGCACCTCAACGTCACCAGTGCCGGCCCGATGGCTCTCTACTCTCTCTCTCTCTCTCTCGATCCCTTGCGTTCCCGACCGATCTGCTGCTGCTTGTCGATCCCTTTCGTTAGATCATTTTAACCCATCGGCGGCGATGCAAAACCATTCACCTGAACCCGTTAGCACGGGTTGGGAACGTACCTAGAACCTGAAAAATCAGAACTCCAAGTAAACCAGCCCAATCCATCACCTCTTAGCCGCAAGCCAATCCAGCCCACAACGCACGTGAAAACTATTGTCCATGGCCCAGAGCCAATTGACGTACAACCCAAATTGTTTAACCCATTCTAGCCTAATCCATTAGCAGGGTGATCTTTAGGTGCCCGCACAACTCTGTCTTTTGCTTGTAGTGAAACATGGAGCGGAGAAGTCTCACACATGCCTTAAAATTACTAGGATTCATTTTTTTTGAAAAAGTAATTTACCAGGATTTTCCTTAGAAAAAGATTGCCATGAGCTACGTTTATCCTGTTTAACATATTGCCTGATATATGTACAAAACTGGCAAACAGCACATGGAACACGGATCACAGCCTTCCTTTTCCTGGAAAATCACAAGGCGTCCCTTGATGAGCCCGGAATTTACCTCCGAGAACAGAAGCTTGTTGCGTTTTTTCTTTTCAATGGAGTGCTCGTCAGAATGCCGCATGCCCGCATCTCCCCCAATCCGCCCCGTCCTCGTCCTCGCAGCTCGCACGAGCGAATCTAGGGCCAGACACGTGGCATGCACATCCATGTGCTCGGGGCCCGCTTGGCTCTCTTTTACCGCGGGACCCACCTTGACCCTAATCCAAATTAAAGAGAAGACTAAGGACTACTCCACCTACTAACCTCCCAAACAATTTTACTCACCAACAATCATGCATATTAATGGATAATCTTAAATCTTAACCCCTTCACTAAAAATGGTAAAAAAGGAGTAAATTCTGTACAGGCGGCGGGGCCCGCAGGTCAGGCAGAAATAACTGCGGTGCCATCTCCTGCGCTGAAGTAATAAAAGTTTTGGAGTTATAAAACCCTAGGGGTTCTTGCGTCAGTCTACATCTCCACCGTCGGCGTCTAGATCCAACGGTTCCTGCGCCGCGGAGGCTCGTGCTTATCACTCCGCCGTCTCCTTCCTCGGGCTCGCTTCCCCACTGCTGATTACTGTGTTCTCTCTCTCCTCTCCCCATCCTCTTCTCCGAGCAGCTCGAAGCTTCCGGCGCCTGGAATGGCGGAATCGCTGCCCGATCAGAGTCCAATCTGAGCCTGGGCGTCCCCGAATCGTGCCTCCCCGTCCCGATCTTCCAGAATCCCGAAGAAATCGGTGTTGGAATGGAGGACTCCGCACCGATCGGGCTGCTGCCGTTCGATTCGGTGGTGCTTTGGCCTGGGCCGTCGGGAGAGCCACATCTTCTGTGACTGAGCTGTTCTTCTCGTGCTGGTTGGCACGGGCTTGGACCGTGCAGAGCGGTGCCTTACGCCGGAAGGAGGTAACAGGGGTGCGGCGTCTGTACGGGATTTCCATTTGGGGGTTTCGGCGTGTTCATTGTCTCAATTCTTTGTGATTTCTGTTCCTAGGGTTTGTTGAATGATGAGCGCCAGCGCCGTGGCTATGCGTGGGGAGATGGGCGGCGGGGGCGGCGAGGGAGGGGAGGAAGAGTTGGAGGACGAGCTCGAAGCGCTGCTCAGTTCCGGCGCCGGTGGCCAGCGGCGGCGACCAGCGGACGCGGGCGAGAGGGAGAGGGAGCGTGAGCTCAGCATGTTCCGGAGCGGCTCGGCGCCGCCGACCATAGAGGGTTCTCTGAACGCCATCAGCGGCCTGCTCCGCGGCGACGGAGAGGTGGCAGTGACGGCTGCCCCGATTCCTGTTGCTGAGGCGTTGAACGGGCATAGCGGCCTCCTCTCGGAGGAGGAGCTCCGGGCCGATCCAGCCTACCTGTCTTACTACTACTCTCATGGAAATCTTAACCCGAGGCTGCCGCCACCGGTGCTGTCCAAGGAGGATTGGCGGTCAACCCAGCGCCTGAAATCTGGGGTGGTTGGGGGGATTGGGGACAAGAGGAAGCCTATTCAGGAGGATGCCAGACAAGGGACGGGGACTGCAGTAGGGAGGTCTCTGTTCTCACAGCATCCTGGTTTTGAGCGGGATGAGGAAGCCATGAATGATGGGGGTGGTGCTGCAGAGTGGGTGGATGTTGGAGGAGATGGGCTCATTGGTTTATCACTCGGGCGGCAGCGTAGCTTTGCAGATATACTGCAGGTCTGATCTTATTTGGGTTGCAAAACTTGCTTCCTTTTTTATGTTGAATTTTAATTCAAAAGAAGGGTTAGCCTTAATAGCTTCTACTTGGTGCATTATTCTGGTAGCCACACTGCTATTAGTTGTTAACTTGTTATTTTAGTGTTATTATCCCATTGAGGTTCAATTTTAGTTTCGTTTTTTGGTTGTGCAGTTTTATCCAAACTGTTGTCTAGATGGTTTGGGCTGCTATAAGTTTCTGGTACTTGTTACTCACAATATATATACAATATATATGGAGTAGTGTGGGTTTTCTTACTTTTGGTTCAACTGGTAAGTCAACACAGTTCTGACGAATCAACACACTTGACTCATTCAGTTTAATCTGGGTAACAGTAGCACTTATGGTTTAGAAATTTCTCTCTGAGTCTGTGTAAGTTTTGAATGCCTCAGTTCAAGCTCATGCATTGGGGATGACATGAATCAGATTCACTTAAAAAGCCAGGTGGTATAAATAAATATTATAATGGGCATGACCGAAGGTCTTGTGTCAAAGTGCATGCTTTCAGCATCATCTTGTTTGTTTTTTTGTATTTTTGTAGAATTTTCTAACAAGTTTCCTCATAAGGTTCAAGACAGGATAAAGCGTATCTTTGATACTTGCGTGTGTCTATATAATATTGCTATTAGACAACTATTATCATTTTTTGCTCTTTCTGTTTAGAGCGTGCAAGCTTTAATTTATACAACAATGTGCATTCTTACCATTTCTCCTTTATTGGTTTATGCTTCCATCTACCTGTGCCTTTCTACACCTTCTATCGTTCAGACATCTTATTTAGTTTATTATGGGTTGTTTCAGGACAATATTGGCCGCAGAACACCTACTTCAGAGCATCCCTCCCGCACGGCCAGTCGCAATTCTTTTCTTGACAATCAGGAGCCAGTGAATCCTGCTGAGAACCAATATGCTATGCATAATGATATTTTGGATGTGCATCATCCTATTGGAAACATGCAAAATGTCAGTGGTCTTCACAACCTTAACACATCCACATCTCAAACGTTTGCATCTATTATGGGTTCATCTGTTTCCAGAAATGCTACGCCAGATCCTCATTATGCTGCAAGGGTTCCTAGCCCTAGCCTTCCACCTGTTGGTGTTAGGATCACTTCCAATGATAAGAAACTGAACTCCTCATCGCCATTCAACACTGTATCTTCAAAAGCAGTTGGGACTGATGATATTTTATCTGCATTGTCAAACATGAACTTATCAAAAAATGGTCCTCAGAATGATAATAACAACATCAGTCAATCGAACTTTCAGAGAGATATAAGTGATCAGCAGAAATTTTCACTTGACTCACAAGCAGCTCAAGTCCATAATAAGCAGCATTCTGTGATGTTAGAAACTGATGATGGATATTTGGGTATACCATCAATGTCACAATCATCCAATTCTTCATTTGCTGACGTTAATAACAGTGTTGCCGGTCTAGCAGAGTTTAGAAATAGTACCAACACAAGGTTAGATGGACATTTGGAAATGCAGAGATCTTCTAATTTGTCTGCTCGTTCATACCAGAAGTCCCCATCTTCTTCTAATGAAAGCCAAGGTGGTTCTCCTGCTCAACATCACAGTTTTGACAGTATAAATTCAGCCTTTTTGAACTATGGGCTCAGTGGATACCCACTCAGCCCAGGATTGCCTTCTATGATGCCCCCTTTGTTTGAGAGTGCTGCTGCTGCATCTGCTATAGCCGCACTTGGTGCAGATTCAAGAAACCTTGGAAACAATAGTTTATCTTCACCTACATTGAGCCTAACTGATGCACATAACCTTGGTCGTGGTGGTAATCAAGCTCCCACAGGTCTGCAGTCTCCTCTTTCTGACCCTTTTTATGTTCAATACTTGAAGGCAACTCAGTATGCAGCACAGGGAGCTGGCAGCTATGGTGATCTCTCCTTGGAAAGAGGTTACATGGGTAACTCATATGCTAATTTAAATGCAGTTCAAAAAGCTTATATTGAAGTCTTGCTTCAGCAGCAGAAACAATTTGAAATGCCACTTCTTGGTAAATCAACCGCTTCAAATCATGGGTATTATGGCAATTTGGCTTTTGGCATGGGCATGGCATACCCAGGAAGCCCATTGAGCAGTCCTGTTGCTTCTCAATCGGGTCCTGGCAGTCCACTTAGGCTTGGTGAGCGAAATCTGAGGTTTCCGTCTAACTTGAGAAACATAGGTGGCTGGAACTCTGATCCAAGTGGCTACATGAATGAGAACTTCCCATCCTCGCTTTTGGATGAATTTAAAAGTAACAAAGCCAGAAGTTTTGAGCTTGCTGAGATCGCTGGGCATGTGGTTGAGTTTAGGTATGCCTTGTCACATTGTACCTTTTCAGAATACTAGTATAAATGTCTCAGATTTGTTCAATGGCTCACTAATATCCTGATGGGCATTGTCTTGTATTTATTCCCTCCACAAATCTACATTTTCATTTCAGGGGTTAATGGTGTGGAACTTGCCCGCCCCCACCCCCCCACCAAAAAAAAACAACATACACATGACACAGTTGTGTACACTAATTTGTGCATCGATACTTCATAGATAGTGGAAGATGCTTTGGTCACTGATTTTTTTAGAAAAAACTTTCTATAAGGATTAAGGTTCAGGACTAGTTTGGATGTGTGACATTTGTTGATCTGCATTGATTCTGCAGTGCTGACCAATATGGAAGTCGTTTCATACAGCAGAAACTTGAAACTGCCACAGTTGAAGAAAAGAACATGGTCTTTGAGGAGATCATGCCTCATGCACTATCATTGATGACTGATGTGTTTGGAAATTATGTAGTACAGAAGGTATTCTTCTCCTACACTCTATGGAGCATCTCTCTGTTAGGATTGGAATACCTTATTGTTTCACCAGTTCTCCAAGCATGTTTCAATGTTGATCAAGTATTTCATGGCTTACATGTCCTATTTTCCTAGTTTTTTGAGCATGGGAGTGCAGAACAACGGAGGGAGTTGGCTGATAAACTATTTGGACATGTATTAGCTCTCAGTCTTCAGATGTATGGATGCCGAGTTATCCAAAAGGTACTAAATGATTATCGTCTGTACTTGCTCGCCACTCGATATAATCACTGCAAAGAGTTCTTTCTTGTGGGGCCTCTCCTTTTTCCTTTTAAAACACACACTTTGGTTATCTGACCCTATATGCACATCACTGAAGGCAATAGAGGTGGTTGATCTGGACCAAAAAACAAAGATGGTTACTGAGCTTGATAGTCATATCATGAAATGTGTACGTGATCAAAATGGAAACCATGTTATCCAGAAATGTATTGAATGTGTCCCAGAAGATTCTATCCAGTTTATAATATCAACATTCTATGGTCATGTTGTTCCATTATCAACCCATCCTTATGGCTGCAGAGTCATACAGGTATACCTTTAGGTTGTGCACCTACATGCAAGTGTTCTATCCCTTGTGTTAATGAGATTCACAGTTTTCTTTTCTCTATACAGAGAGTACTTGAGCACTGTGCTGATCAAAAAACACAGCAAATAGTTATGGACGAGATATTGCAATCTGTATGCATGTTGGCACAGGATCAATATGGAAATTATGTTGTCCAGGTTCAGTGCTGCTTTCCAATTTTTTGAATTGGCACTTTTATTTACAATCATGAATAGCTATAGATATTTTTACCTTGGGTTTTTGTATTGCAATAAATATTTACAATATCTGTGGCATACAACCATCATTATGTATGTGTTGTTTTGTTTCTGTTTTGAGATCCTATTTGAAAAGTTAGTTCTTGAGAAGGCTCTCACCAGCGTTTCAATTGGCAGCCTGACTTACATTCTTTTTTAAGCACTGTAGGGGAGGCCCTGTTTTTTTTAACTGTTTTTTTAAGACAATGTAAACCAGGGCCAGAATAACAAAGCTTCACAAGTTCTACGTGGCCCAAAGGAAAAGATTGTAATAACTATAGAGATATAAACATTAGAATAAAAATAATCAGTGTTCTTGATCCACACAAGTAGCCAAGTAGATGGAGCAGAAACTTCAAGCAGGCTCATTCCTTCAGCAGATGCACATCTGCCTAAAATCTCTCTCTTCCAACTGTGTTTATTAGGGTAACTTTGTCAAAGATGCATGTTCCTTTGGAAATAAAGATGCCAAAACTCCAGAGGGATCTGCTCTTTGAACGTCTTTCTACTGAAGGAAAACAATTGCCTAACAGATTCCTTTCTGTTAATCAGTCCTCAGTTACTCTCGTATTTGAAACCAGTTGATGGTAAAGTTGACATATTGTGTCAATTTACAGTTAAAAACTGAAGAGAATTATGTTGACACGTTTCTATATCTTTTATAAATTGAAAAGTTTTGAGTGATGCAGCTGAAGTGACTTTTCAGCTAACCTTTTCTGGAGTTATTTCAGTATAATTCGGACCTGCGATAAATGATGCATAAAATCTAGATCAAACGATTCTCCACTGTTGTAAAATTAGGCATTAGCACTTGAATGTGCTGACCATCTTGTCTAGCGTTTATGGTGTTAACCAGCTATGCTTGGCTAGTATTTTGAAGCATGCTCTTGGTGAAGCATGTAAGTCGAACATAACTATTTCTCCCCAATCGCTCTTTTTACATCAACATAATCAAGTGGATATCTCCAGGATGTATTCTCTTCGCCTGAAACCTGCCAATGATTGGTAATGTTGATGGCATCATGTTAGTGTGGAAAAAAGGTGTTCTTTTTTTTTTCTTAGAGGATGATACTACTCTACCAGGTTGTCTGATACAAACGGCATCTCACTAAGTGGGTTGGATACATTTTGTGGTTGATTGTTGTATTTTACTCCTCCATTCCAAATTATTAGACGTTTTGGCCTTTTTAGATACATATTTTTTTGCTATGCACCTAAGATATACACTATGTCTAGATACATAGCTAAAGCAATGTATCTAGAAAAGCCAAAATTTCTTATAATTTGAAATGGAGGGAGTATTTATGATCTCTCTAGGCAAACTGACATTAATCCAAGAATATCTGGTATCACATGGCTACTTTTACTCGATTTGTTGCTGTTAGATCAAACTTTCTGTTAGAAAAAACCTCCTGTAGTTGTTACCAGCGATGAGTTACCATACTGAAATTCCATTCATATGCAGCATGTTTTAGAGCACGGGAAGCCTCATGAAAGATCGATCATTATTGAGAAATTAGCTGGACAGATCATTCAGATGAGCCAACAGAAGTTTGCCTCGAACGTGGTTGAGAAGTGTCTAACATTTGGGGGACCTACAGAGCGAGAAGTTCTCATAAATGAAATGCTTGGGACCACTGATGAGAATGAACCTCTACAGGTGATTTTTTTTTCTTATTACTTAATATGATTATGACTTGGAGTTTAATAATTCTAGATAGCAAGTTTTCTTGGTGCGAAAAAAAATTTAGCGTAGTTCTTGAAACTGCTTGTGCGGTTGTGCCACCTTGTGAATACTGTGTTGTGATTAGCATAGCAATTGGCACGTGGTCCCAGACATAATAATTTTGTTCACATCATAAATTTTTGAATAAAATATATTCAGCTGATCACAAGGGGATTTTTAGTCCTTTTTAGATGGCATATGAAACCAATAGGTTTTATGTATCTAAAGCTTTTTAAAGTAGAAATCTCAAGAACTGCAGGAAAAGATATGATATTTTGGATTCTAGTTTGTCAGTTTTCCATGGCTCCATGCTAATAATCTAGCAAACGCTGCATAAACAAGTTCGATAGTTAGATTGTTGCAAAATAACCTTGCATTTTTTTTGTCGGGTTACATATCATGTTTGCTAAAAATGTCAGCTTATTTGCTTACTTCTGAAAAAGAAAACTCAACACAGTCTAATCCTTCTTTCTCGACCTATTACAGGCCATGATGAAGGATCAGTTTGGTAACTATGTTGTACAGAAAGTACTCGAGACTTGTGACGACCAGCAACGTGAGTTGATCCTGTCACGGGTAAAGGTTCACTTAAATGCTCTGAAGAAATATACATATGGGAAGCACATAGTTGCTCGTGTAGAAAAACTTGTTGCCGCTGGTGGTAAGTTTCCCCATCCAACTTCATTCATTGAAAGAATTTGCTGAATATTTCTTTGATTAATTGGTATCCTTGCAATCTGAATCCAGAGAGGAGGATTGCACTTCAACCGCAAAATCCTTCTTAATGGCGTAAAGATGACCATGTACAGCTAACCATGGCTAGACAGATCTACCTTCTGCCTTCTGCTTTGGGCTGCTACAAGCCAAGTTTAAAAATAAACATGTTGTACTAAGAAGTCTGTACATTTTGTAGTTTGAGCTTATAGTCATGCAAAGATGAGGCTCAGACAGTTTTAATTTTACCAGATGTCGCTACGGAGAATAGGCGTTCTGTATAAGTTGTAGGTGTAAAGAGAGGAGGAAAGTCTATATTTTGTGACGAGACTGTACAAATTTGCGATCCTGCGAGAGTTAGCATCTGCTTAGGATAAAATTTTATTGCCCTCCTTGTTATTACTAATGGATGTTTGTAACACTGAATAACTGATGTAACGGTTCCAGCTTCTGAAGCCAGTTGCGTGTTTTGTATGGAACTGCTCTTTTTGTCAGATTCGGCATGTTCTGGGTCCTGAATTCAGCAGCATGCCAGTTTTCGTTTTTCAGTCGTCGTTTCATGGGGTGTAAGGGTTTTGTTTAAGCGCTGAGCTCGTCGTTTACCATCCTTAAGGCCCCTTTGGAACGCAAATTGTATAGGAATTTCACATGAATCAGTTTATTTTCAGAGGGAAAACGCAGGGAACAGGAAAAATCCCCGCAATCAAGGGGGCCCTAAATTGGTCGTGAATTGTTGATCTCAAATACGAGGCCGTTGTAAAACTCGTGCCAGAATTGCTTGCGGCGTTACAGTAATTGATTGGATGTGCTATACTGCTTGCTTGGTGGTACGATGCTATCAAATATCTATCGGTGGAGCCGTGGAGGGCGATCTCAGTGGAAATGATAGCACTGTTTGGTGGGATTTTTTTTTATTCCTGCGTTTTTTTCTTTAAAATTGAATCGATTTCTGTGAAATTCCTACGTGATTCATATGAAATTCCTGTGTTCCAAACATACCCAGGCACTGGCGATCATATTCATGGCTAAATGCCAAACAGTTTTCGTTTTTCCTTTCCTACTTAGGAAGGCACTGGCGATCATACTCATGGCTAAATGCCAAACATTCCAACTTTCGAACCCTATACCCGTCCTCGGGGGCGAGTTGCGTCTACGGCACCAGTGCGCCATGTGAAGGTTGGCAACCGCGCTCGTTTTCGGAGTTTCGGACAATTCCGTTCTCTGCTGAGTGCTGACACAGCAAACCAGAACCCCGGCAAGGCAACCCCAACTCCCGGCGGACCACTCCCGCAGTCCCGCACTCCCGCGTTCCAGCCCCATTTATCGTCTTCGTCTGTCCGTCACGGCACCGCGCCGCGCAGCGTCAGAACTCCCTTGCGGTCGCTCTCATGCCGTCCTGCACGCCTGCCAAGCAAAACACCACGATGCACTCTCCGAGCGACTCGCTCCACACCCACGCGCCAACGGGATCACCGTGACAACGTCAGAAACCCAGAAGAAGCCTGCGCCCGCGCCTAGCCTGCCCCACCCCGGGGGAATATGTTATGTTATCCCCACGCGGCGGCCGGCCCCACGACCCCACGGCGCCCGCCCCCTCCGCCCTCCCCTCATCCTCGTCAACCCGCCACACAGACATGGAAGACGACGACGACGCCGGCGCCGGCGCCGGCTTCGGCGCGTGCGGCCGCGTGCTCGAGTGGGAGCACGGCCTCCCCACGGAGGAGGAGCTAACGCCGCTCTCGCACCCGCTCGTCCCTCCGGCGCTCGCCGCCGCGTTCCGGATCGACGTCAGGGGCACCGCCTTCGACTGCCCCGCCTTCGCGCACAACTCCCCCACCTCTCACCTGTCCTTCCGCTGCGACGACGAGGACGAGGACGATGAGGAGGAGGGGGAGGGGGAGGGGGTGGGGGAGGAGGAGAGCGAGGACGCCACCTCCGGAAGCGGCTCGTGCCGAGGCGGGACTGGGAGGGCCGGGAAGAAGGCGAGGATGGTGTGGACGCCGGAGCTGCACCACCGGTTCGTCGAGGCGGTGGCGCACCTCGGCGACAAGGGCGCCGTGCCCAAGGCCATCGTGCGCCTCATGAACGTCGAGGGCCTCACCCGCGAGAACGTCGCCAGCCACCTCCAGAAGTACCGCATCTACCTCAAGCGCACGCGCAGCCCCGGAAAGCCGCAGCCTCCTCCGGCCTTCCCGCCGGCATACGGTTCCCCCTTCAGGCCCCAACAGCCCTCTGACACCTCCAGCCGGAGCGATTACAGCGCGTCCTCCACTTCTCCTGCCGCGACAGCGAGAAGCTCGAACGCGACAAAGCAGTAAGCTCTATGGTTTTCAATTTTGAATGCATACCGTACCAAGAAAAGAGTAAACCACTCGAAAAATATTTGGATTCATTTCGAGACATTCAAGTACACAGGTGCACGATATATGTATGCTTGTTCCAAGTTCCATTACACGCTTACATTCGGGTCTCTATTTGATTTGCATTGGCTGTTCGGAGATACAAGTAGTATCCTCCACCTTTGCATTAAGCTTGCTTTGATTACTTTGTACAATTTTTTTTGGCGATTTATGGGTAGTTTGGTACCCTAAAGCTAACACATATGTCAGCATTCTTTATTGGGTTATTTCAAAGCTATCTTTTATGTTTGGCATAGATGACCCATCATTGTCAAATCAAAAGTTTATTAGTTAGATTGAAGAAATTAGTAGTACCAATTTTCAGTAAATCTCGTGGTGGGCAGATAGTGGAGCAACTCTATGCCCGCGCTGCAAACTTGGCTCAGAGAGCTGATTAGTTATTTCAACTCTTTTGGAACTTGTGTTGCCTTAACGTAGGGTACTGAGTTTTTTTTTATCTGATGCTGATGTGTTGGGTACTTGTGTGTATCGGTGGTACCAGGGTAAGTGACCAGAAAAAATTAGCCTCGCAACAGGAAAGGGCAGGATCTGGTTTCTCAAGAAAGGGGACGATTTTCCAACTTCCCGTAATTTTCAGAATTTTGGATTTCTTCCTTCTGCAGTTTTGGACTTCAGTTACAGACTAGAGCACTCTTATAGCCTTGTTTGATGCATGTGTATTCACTTCAATCCACATATATTGAAGTGAAATGGAATAGAATTTAGTTTAATTCCACTCCAATCCACTTCAACACATGTGGATTGAGATGAATACATGTGCATCCAAACAAGGCCTGGGAAGGGTTTCCATCTTTAGAGGTGCTTTGCTGTGCTGATTTCATAGGATTAAAAAGCATATTAGGCAGTGGATTTTTCATATTGGTGTTTGCACTACTGGCAACGAGCCTACATGAACCCTTTTAGTTCAGCAATGCCCACTTTCTTTTGAAAGGGGTGTAGCAATGCCCCTCACATTCTTGGAGCTAGCCAAGGCAAAGCGGCTACAATTTTCCACTTATGCCGGCATTTCTTTTTTGAAACTAACGTATACTATGGTGACTGATTTTCTTTGCCTTGATTTTATGGCAACTGCTTAGCTCCAGGCTGTGGGATGGAAACGGGCCAGACAAGCGTAAGACATTCTGAGAAAGCTCATGGAAACTAGCACGCCATGTTCAGTTAGCCCGTAAGATGTTTCTCAGGAAAGAGGTATTGTCCACAGTGAAGCGAGTGAAGTACAGCAAATAAATATGAGTAAATGACGATGTTGCCGAAATAATTGGAACATCGACCGGTAGACCTACGACTGAAAGACCGGTAATACAGCAATGCCCACTAAAGTTTTGTGAGATTTTCTAGAGCTTTTGTTATCTGAATGTAAAAGTTAATTTGTGTGGCTCAAGTATTGTAAATTCTCCATCACGTCTTACAGTATGAGACTAGTGTGCATGTATCCTAATGCAACACCATAATGTTAGTATTTTCTTATTAAGCTGCTGACAAATTCCGTTATTCCTTATGTCATAGATGGATTCGGCAAACTCGAGAAGCTTCAGTGTCTGCAATATTGTGATCATGTACAGCCTTCAAAGTTGAAAACCATTATGCCATGGTTCCTCCAAGGAGTGCGTCTCTAGTAGACTTGATCATAGGCCACCTGACCAAACCAGCCTGACCATTTATCGGGCGGGCTTGGACCATATAATTTTGGACCCATGTCTGACCCAATCCCAAACGGACTCTAACATAGTACGATTGAGAAATAGCCCGACCTAATCTGGCCTGATGTGTCTCTCGGTTGGGCATGGGCGAAAAACTTGACCTGGCATTTTCTTCCAGTCCGACTCAAGCCCGATCTAACCCAACATTTAATTAGGTTATTATCCAGGGGCAAATCTCGGCAGTGTTCTTGCCTCTGATGACCATTCTGGCTGCCAGAGCAGCAAGGCCCAGGCATGTCCTGCGGCGTTGGTTTTTACTAGCAAGAAGTCCTTTTTTTTTGCAATTCAACTATTATCCAAGTTTATGTTTAACCACGTAACTGTAAAACCATAAATATTTGACAACCAAAATATCAGTACTGAATTTTTTTTTGGCCATCTATCTACTGAACACTTGACTTCCATACCATGAAAAACCTAATATGTTTTAGTGAAAAATTGATTATCATACATTATGGATTGTCTTAGTCAATGTCAGGTACAATATTGTACAAAATATTTACTCCCTCCATTCTAAATTATAGGACGTTTTGAATTTTCTAGATACATAGCTATGCTATGCACTTAGATATATAATATCTCTATAGATACATAGTTAAAGCACATATCTAGAAAAACCAAAATGTCTTATAATTTGAAATGGAGGTAATAGTTAATTAACTAACAAATGTGATTACGGGCAATAAAATACTAAGAATAGGAGAAAATACCGATCACTTAAGATACATGCCTGGTTTTATGTTTTTGATTAAAATACATTATTTATAAAAAAGTTTAGTACTGGTTTTATGTTTTTGATTAAAATACATTATTTATGAATTTTTAGAGAAAACCTATTTTTATTATTTTCAAAAACATTGATCCACCTTTGAAACCAGTTAAATGACCATATTTATCTAACAATAATAGTCTGCTGGTCAAATATTTCTGATTTTAGAGTTGCATGGTCAAATAGTTCCAACGCCTCTTTCAGATGGCAGAAGCGCGGCGAAGCGTGGCTGGCACCGTGTGCGCCGCGCATCGCTACGCTCGCCGCTCGGGGAGGCGGCGGCGAAGGGCAGCTACTGAGCTGAGCTGCACCACGTTAGCTTCCCCTAATTCTTTTGAGTGAGTCAGTCCCCCGTGACCTCTATTCGTCGAGGGTTCCATCGGAGCGGGGCGCCGCCGTCTGCGGATGACGAGCGGGCGCTAGTCCACCATGCATGGCCAAATCTGTCGCCGCGCGGCGCCAGAGCGTTTCGTCAGCCGCCGCTGTGGGCTGTGGCTGTGGCAAACTTGCTGTCTTCGATCACAATCCTTGAGCCCCTGGTAAAGATTTCCAAACGGGCCAGGCCCATCGGGCCCGAAGACGGCGTCGATCTTGATTTGGCCGGTCTGCACGGCCGGCCCGCCTCTCCGTCCCGTGCTAAGCAGCAGCACGGCCCGTCGTTCTCGCGTTGCGGCGCGATGCCGACCGTTAGCGCACAGGCACAAAGACGGCACGGCCCGCCCAGAGGCCGCAAGACGGGGTCGGCACGGCTTGGAGCCGTTGGATGGAGGCCCCGGCGATTCCTAGCCGTTGGATGTAGGGTTGGGACGAGTGGCTATATAAGCCGGCCGCCGCTCTCGGCTCATGGCCCGAGCACCGAAACGTGCTCATTCTCTCTCCCCGCTTCGGCCCTTCCCCGCTCCGCTCCTCCGCTCCGCTCTCCTCTCTTCTTGAAACCCTAGCCACTCACTCACCCGATCTCCTCTCTTCTTCCCGCCCTCGGTGTTGGTGGTGACAACAGCGGTGGTAGCACGCGCACACAACACGGCCTTCTACACCCCCTCTTCTCCACGACCGGCGATGTAGCTTAGTCGTCTCCATCTCCTCCTCGTCTCTCTCTCGTCGGTCTCGTCGACCTCATGGGACTCCGGTGTCATTGGGAGCTCCGCAAGGAGGCGTTGAGGTACCAGACGCCGCCGGATCTGAGCGACGTCGGCGCTCGTCGTTGCCTCTGGTGCTCCGCTCAAGCGAGGTGAGCTCAGATCTGCTTCTTCTTCTTCACTTCATTTCTTTTCTTGTTCTTGATTCGGTGTTCTTCACTTCTTGTTCTTGATTGTTTGTTCTTCATCTCTTCTTCTTCTTCTTCTTGATTTAACCCTAGATCTGTTTCTTTTTTTTTTTGAAGCCGCTGGCGTTGAGGGACCGGAGGCCGGCGACGACGAGATGTCGGACGAGGAGGAGGACATCGGTCTCTCCATGACCATCAACGACGAGCTCCGCCTATGCGGGATGACCGGAGACGACGAGGACGATGTCGTTGGGGATGCCGAGAGAGCTCTTCGGCCGTCGTCTTTGCGAGGAGCTCAACGGCGCAGCTCTTTGCTGTAACCCACTTCCGTCGACGACGGTGATGGCTAACGCCGTCCGTAGGCGACGCTCAAGCTCAAGCCCACCGGTGATGACGGCTCAAGCAAAGCAAGCCTAATCGCCCTTCTACCTCGATGTCTGCCGGGAAGATTTCGAGAAGCTCATCAAGAAGGTAAATGGTAAGGATGTCGTATGGCGCTTTGGTGTCTTCACCGCCGTAAGGAGTACTCTGCTAATTCTAAATTTGGGACGGCCATCTTCTCCGTCATCAAGACTCTTGCCCTAAGAAGCGTGAGAAATGTCGCATGGCTCACCCCACATTACTTTCAATAAGGATGGTAGTGTGCGTAATTGGGAGTATTCTCAACGAGGTTGCTCGTAAGGAGCTTGTTCGTTTGCTTGCTAGGCTAGACCTTCCCCTGCGTCTTGGTGAAACTGAGGCCTGGGAAGATTACATAAAAGCTGCTCATAACCCTAGGTACTCTACTGTGTCTAAGCAAACTACAGCTAGAGATCTTTTTAAGTATTTCAATTCTAAGCGTGATAGTTTGATTGAAGATTTGAAGAATAATGCCATTTCATCTGTTGCTATTACTTCTGATATTTGGTCTGGAAATGCTAAAGAGGATTATTTGAGTGTTGTTGGTCATTACATTAATGCTGATTGGCAACTTGAAAAAAGGGTGCTTGGCTTAAGGCTTATAGATGCATCACATAATGCTGATAACATTGCTGAACGTGTTAAGATTGTGCTTAATGATTATGGTATATTGAACAAGATCTTTTCTGTTACATTGGACAATGCCTCTGCTAATAATAAAGCTATGGATAAACTGAAACCTGTACTTAAGGAGTATTTAGGT